GCACGTTTTTATTGCTGTGGTGTGGATTCTCTCGTAGCTCTGGGGGACGTCGCCCGCTTCTGTACAGTTATGACAGTTTACATTGTTAGCACGTGACAAAGTTCTAGCAGGTGTCCCCATTGTTATTATTGTTGTTGTTGTTGGTTCTGCATTTTGCGCTGATTGAATGGAATTTGTGGCATGTTCCTATGGTCGAGCACACGCTCATACTTACTTATACTACATACACCTGCCTAAACACGCTTGTTCAGTTGAGTGTGTTTTGTGTTGACGCTTGTTAAATGTTGGAGCATTTTTTCGGACTCTACCTGTCTGGAATCAAAACTGCCATTTACATTCTCGGAAAGGCGCAATCAGAGCTCACAGCTCCAACTATTTACAACAAACTACAGAAATTGGCGCTAAGCAGGCAGGCAAACCACAATGCTTAGTCGTGTTAGTCATGACACGAACCCTTGTCTCGCTCAGTTAACGTTGTTCGCTGCCGCTGTCACCGTTGGCGTTGACGTTGGCGTTGGCGTCGCTGCCCTTACCACTTGACAGTTTGGACTTTTGTGTTGGCTTGACTTGGTCAATAGACTTTTCTATGGGTATCTTTCACCTCCCCCTGCCCATTTTCTTGCCTCAACCTCTCCCCCCCTCTCTGGCTGTGTGTGTGTGTGTGTGTGCTTTTGACATTTTTTCCTTCATTTTTCTGTGACAAGTTTTCTGTGGTTCACGCGGGCCACTTTACGGCATGTCATCAGCGTTTCTACCCGGGCCGTGCCTATTTCACACTTTTATAGAAAAATTTTGCCAATTCTGTGACGTCGCCGTCAGCGTTGTCCTCGTCCTCGTCGTCGTCGTCGTCGTCGTGGTTAGCTTCCTCACACCCCTCTTTTACTTTATTCCATGCGGAAGTTTGCGCAATTTCCAAACGGAAATGCAATTTTCGGTTCTGCTGCATTTGTCTCGACTGCGTGAGGGTCCCCGGCTCAGGCCACAACTGCGTCTGGGCGGCTTGCCAACACATCGTATATCAAATGCAGCTTGGCACTGCTGACAATGACATGCAGCAGCAGAGGCAGCAGCAGCAGCAGCAGCAGCAGCACCCCACCACCCACCTATGTACAATTCAACCAACCACGGAGGCGGCCCACCAGAAGAGCCGCCCAAAATAAAAGAAAATTTTTGTTCGCCAAAAAAGTTGCGACGCTGCCTCTTGTTGTTGTTGCAGGCAGTGTGTGTTACGCCTTTTGTGGCGTTTCTGCTTCGAAATTTATTTCACACGCTTTTTCCTTTTGCTTCTTATTTTATATTTTTTTATATTTGTATAATGCCACACGAAAATTTCTTTGCCAATGCGCTCTCTTTCAGTCGACAAGTTTTTCGTTTTGGTTTTTTGGCTTGCATGCGAAATGAAATGTTGAAATACTTTTATTTATTTGCATATAAATTATTCAATTGTTCCCCGACACACACTCACACACACATACACTCATAAAAATACCCACCCACGAATAGAGAGGATCGCATTTTCAGACACAATTGCTTATCTTTCTTGCTGGCTGGCCTTTCGACACACAGACACCTCCCCCTACCAACACCCCTAGCTTTTTCCGAGTCTATCAAAGCGTCGAATGCATTGAAGCCGCAATTGATTTTTGATATATTTTACAGGCCATGGGCGTGAGGCGTGGCCCCCGAATTTTGATTTATGTGTGCATATTTGGCACAAGTTAAATAAAATTGCATTTGCATGCATTTGTGGTGGAGAGGCCTGCGAGTTCAGAGGGGCTGTGCAGCAAATTTGTGCGTGCCAATGAATGTGTGGGATTAGTGTTCCAATATAATTGCCCACAATTCAAATTTCGAGACTCCCCCACAAATTGCTTATTTATATGAATGGCAAACACAAAGCACTCGTATCAACAGTACACTTAAGCAGTCTTTAGAAACAACAAATTATTCAAGTATGTATTAAATAAATGTTTTTCAAATCTATTTAAATTCAAGCAACTTTTTCAAATCTAATGCCATAGAGTTGAAGAGCGTAAGTAAAACCGGAATATAGTAATAGTCCAATCAAAATTAATACTGCGTTTAATTGTTAATTTCGGTTGAATTTGAGTAAAGAGTCTTAAAATTTATTATTTATTTATTATTATTTATTATTTATTGAAAAAGTACTTTAAACAAACTGCCCTGTTGTGCTTTTAAAGTCATGTCTCTGCTGAAAGGCAGGTGAACAATAAAAGTATAGTACAACTATATCATTACATTTGAGGAAAAATATGTCGCCTTTATTTTAAGCAGAATGTATTGAAGATAAGAATATGTTGGGCATGTTGCATACACAGATCTCAAACCGATTGAGAATTTATAGTCCGACGTAAAGAAGGAAGCTGTTAGACATGCTTTAAGTTCCATTCCTCTCCAAAGATGTTAACATCTTGTGGGCTCCTTGACACAGACTATGATGTTACACAATACTAACATTACTTAGAAGGTCTTAATTAGAGTAATTTGCAATACATTCATATTATTAGGATCAGTTGGGACAAATAAGAGACCAAAAAATGAAACCCAACTTTAATTTTAAGCGACCAAATTAATGAAATTGTGTGTTATTTGTTTATGATTTACTTGTTAATATTCTATACCTTATAAACAATTCTTGAAGGTGCATTAAAGAACAAATTCGTACAAATTTTGATCCAACCAGATTCATGAACTACCACTACTATTATTTTGAGCACAGCTGTATACTCGGCTAGACGTCTTAATGTATGTTTAACTTGAAATTATATGAACAACTTATGGCCAGTACACAACAGATACACTGTTGTACTGCTCAAGACACTTTACTTAATCTTAATTCAAGAAAATTATGATGAGATGTGGTTCCTTCTTGGAGATGAACAGCTAGTTACTGCACCTGAATTCACATTAAACTTTGTATTAGTTAGTAGATAATAGCACAGACGACTTTGTATTCAATTCTGAGCATCTGTCTATGCCGTGCATGTCTTTCTAGGACCCTTCCACCAGACACAAGGCTTAGTATGTTTTCTTTAGGCTTAAATGGTGAAATAAATTTCCATAATTTATAGTGAACAGTTTATTAGAAGAGCACATGCTCTCTCAAGGTCCTACTTGTACAAGAGGCAACACAGCAAATAAAAATCGTGTACGAGTATATTGAAAAATGGCTTACAGAGTTCAGTCATAACTTTAGCGAGCTGTCGCTGCCACATTTGGCCAATTTGGGGCTTGTTTGCAAGGGATGCGAGACTTCCGGCTTGATGCCAACACGTACACTAAACGTTTGTCTGCTCTTCTGTGCCCTTTGTGCCAACGCTCCATTCGCTCTCTCCATCGTTCTTCAGCATTCGCTCTCTTAGTCGCTCCCTCTCTTACAGCGAATGTCAAATGTCAGCTGCAGAACAGCGCGTCTTTTGACGCTGTCTAAATATTTGCGCGCCTTGTTTTTTTTTTCTTGCTCCTTTGGAAGGGCGGCCGTCGCTCCCACCGCTCCCACCGCTCCCCCGCTCCTCCGATCCTCCGCTGCCCTGCTAGGCACGCCTCAATAACATTCAAAACGTGCAGGGCGTGCGCCTGTCAGCAAATATTTCTAATATCTGCCGTTCTCGACATCGGCATCAGCATCAGCAGCAGCAGCATTGGCATTGGCGTTTCCCACTTGCTACTTGCATTGAGCTACATGTGTTGTAAATTTATTAGCTGTCATATAAATTTTCACACGCTGCCGCCCTCTGCCATCTGTTAGCTGCAAATGTATGTACATATGTGCGAACGTGAGCAGACGTGTTGTCATTTGTGCTCTTGCCTCGTTGTTCCATTGTCCTGCCGTCCTGCTCGTCAGTGTCGTCCTTTTTGGGTCTGTTTGTTTGCAGATAAGACGCGAGCGTGCACAACCCTTGCGTAAGTGAAATTTTTCATTTACATAAATGCTACTTAAGAAAATTAATAATTTGTTGCATAGCCTACTTCTGGGCCTTTGGGCTCTTAATTGGCGCCAAGCCGTCCTCCAATTGGCTGACAAGGCATGTGTGTAAGACGTTGCTCTTTTTGGCAAGTCTGCCAAGTGCCTGTCATTTGTTTAATTAAACCTACGCCTAATGGTAGGCAATCATTTTTTGCAGCTGCCTCCTTTGCTGCAACGAACGCATGTGTGTGTGCATGGAATTCATGTACTGTTCTACCCTTCAAATAGCAATGGCAATGGAACTACACACATATTAATAATAATCATATTTTCTGGCTTGGTCGCCATTTGCATCTTAAAAAGGATCTCAAATTAACAATTTTATATTGTATAAGGATATTACACAAGGATATAACTATTTGAATATGGAGAGTTTAAAATGCTTTAATATAATAAGACAGTAAACAATAATTTTCGACATTGCTTGATTATTTATCGTTAATAATTAGTTCAGATTTAAATTTCAAATATCAGTAGTTATTTTTGTTCATTTTTGAAGTTAATTTCCGCTTATTATATGTTCTTATTTTGCTTTAATTTTTCCCTTTCTCATATTATTGTTTAATTTATTGATTTCGGCTGAGAATTTAAATCAATAAAACGAACAATAAACAGTCATGTCAGCAGACGCGGCATCCATCTTTCTGATTTGTACTGCAAAATTGAAATCAGATTTGATTATAGGCAGCCTTAAATGGCGGCCTAAATTTGATTCGCAAAAAAACAAGTTGATTGCTTTAATTGATTGCGGAATAACTTTGACATAAGTCCATTTAATAATCAATCCTGTAGGATCATGCACACATCTAAGGAGCTTCACTTTAAAATTTTTAATCCCGTTTGTTTGATATTTGAGGCATTGAAGGATTAAAATACATATTTGTAATTTTATTAAATGCACATTAAAAATATAAAGATACATACTTGTATATAAATAGGCAATGATAACTATTCAAGTGTATAAGTAGTTGTATATTTTGGCACGCTTCATAAAAATATCAACAAATCCGCACTACATCTCCGTCTCCGCTTGCGTCTGCTTCAGCGGGTTGCCCTTGTCGTCGATCTCCACAGAGGGTACCAGTGGGGGCTTGAAGCCATACTGTATGTTTAGATTGCGACCAAAGTCGGGACTGCGCTTAAGTGTGTGTCCGTTGCGCCAGCGCTGGAATTCGTCGAACTCATTGCTTTTTGTGGCGCTGGTTGCTGGCACGGGACCGATGTACGACTTGACCATTTGCGCAGACGCCGAGGCGGCTGCCGTGGCCAAGTCCGCTGGCAGCGTGTTGTAGATGTATCGTGAGCTCTGCAGCCAAGGCGATCCCGGCGGTGGCGGTGGAGGACGCAGATCGAAGCGCATGTCGGCCAGACTGAAGGTGGCCACCTTGGGGGCGTCTCCTCGCAGTGGTTTCGTAGGAGGCTGGGACGCAGGAGCAGGCGCAGGAGCAGTGACAGTGCTGGCCTTGGTCTTGCTGGCAGTCAGCTGAGGCAACAGTTTCTTGAGCATGCGCGTGTAATAGTTTTGGAGCACCTTGGGCGGCACATGGGCCACTGCGGAGGAGTGCGACCAGGGCAGAAGGGAATTGGGATGCTGTGCATAACTAAAGGGTCCGAGGGAGGGTCCTGCTGAGATAGGCATGTGAATGGCAACTGGCACATGAATGGGAATGGCCATGGGGCGGTCGACAAACTTTTCGACAATTTTCTCCACCTCAACCGGCTTCTCCACAATGCGCTCCACCTCGACAGGTACGTGTTTCTCAACGATTTTCTCCACCACTGTCTCCACGGGGTAGGGATAAGGGACGGGCTGTTCGACTATAGTTTGTACGGGATAGGGGCGATCCACATAGTGTTCCACATGGACTGGTACAGGAACGGGATGGGCATAGGGTACGGCAACGTGTTTCTCGACAACCTGATTGATGGGCACCGGACGATCAACGACTTTCTCGACGGAAACAGCGTAGGGCTGCGGCTGAGGCACCAGCTTCTCCACAATGGCTACTGGTTGAGGGGAATGGGAATAATGTGGGGAGGATGCGTGATGAGAGCCTGTTTCCAAATGAATTGTAGAATGTGAGATGGCGCCTTCCTGTGGCGAGCTATCGTACTCCACATGCTGCACGTGTATGGGGTTGGCAGCCAGCGAGACATAGTTGTGGGGAGGCGCAGGCGTCGATGGCGGACCCGGAGGGGCACTAGCAGTTACGAAGTTCTTGGGACTGTAGTCAACCGATAAATGGTTCTGTTGATAGGGCGGCGGATGATATATAGTCTCATGCTGCTCCACCAGTTGACCATCCTTCTCGGTGATGAGCTTGTTGTGGATGTTGACCGATTTCTGCACCTCAACAAATGTGTAGTGGTTGGGTTTGACCTCGGCTTGTAGCTTAGCGGAAATGGGCGGGGGAGGAGCGTGTTGTTCGTGTTGCTGAGAGGGTTCGGCAGCGGCTTCCGAGACATATTCATGAGGACTTGGAATTAGGAGTGAGGGGTGCTCCAGGGGCTTCTGCTGCGCTGGCGGGCCAGGCGCTGCATGAGGCGTGTTCAGTGTGACAAAGAGCAGGCTGCTGGGGGTGGCAGTTGCTGGCGTGGGACCACCATAGCCCTGATAGTCAATGGGTGCGTCTGGCTTAGCAGACGCAACCGCTTGAGTATGTAGCTGAGCTGGGGGCTGCCGATGTGTTGGCTGCGACTGCTGCTGCTGCAGGACATGGCTCAGCTCCCGCTGATAGGCCAACTGAGCAGCTGGACGCACATATGGTCCAGCATAATCAGCTTCTGATTGCGGACGCGTAGGCAACAGTTGTGGCGGACTGTTGACCTCGTAGTGGAATGAGCCTTTGGGTATGGGACCATCAGCTGCACCCGAGATTATTGGCTTGAAGGTCTTGAGAAACTGACGCGATGGCGCCTCAGCTGTCTGATGGCGCTGCTGAAAATGCTGTTCGCTGTGCGCCTGATAGTGATCCAAAGCTTGTGGCGCACTGTGCTCTGCCGTCTCTTGTGCCTTGGCCAGCGACTGGTCGTGGACAATGTGCACATTGATTTGTTGTTCCTGTCCGGGGCCATGCTGCTGGCGATAGCTCTCAATGCCACCAGATGGGGAAGGTGGTGGCAGACGCCGATGATAGATCTGCTGCCCCAGATTCTGCGACTCAGCAATCTGATTATCCTCAATGCTCTGGTTGTCTTCCAACTCGGCCTCGTGCTCGCCCAGAATCACAATGGGAGCGCTTTCGGCTGCCATCAACGTATCGTTATCATCGTTGGGTGGCAGCAACAAAGTGGGCAGAACTGGAGCCGCAACGGCTGCGCGGTTAATGCGAAGAAGCTCTTCCTGGGAGATGTGATTGCTGCTGCTGCTGCTGCTGCTGCTCTGCTTGAAATGCTGACGAGGCAAGCGCGCTATCTTCTCGACCACAATTTGCGTGTGTCCGGGGCGCAGTTCGCGACGATACTCCTTGGTCACCGTGGTTTGGTAGCTGTAATAGGTTTGATTCTTGGCCGAATCTGGTGGTGTAGTGGCCGCCGTTGCCTGGGAGGCAATGGTCGTGCCTTGCACCGCATCGATGAGTTCTGTGGTGGTGGTGGCCGTGGTACTTGTACTGCTGCTTGATGATGGGGCTGGCTCTGTGGCCGCCTCGGTTGGAGCCTCGCTACTGCTTTCAGCCGGATAACTGAAGCGAAAGATATCCGAGAAGCCATTGGGGAAGAGATTGTAGAGCACCTCGTTCACGGTGGCTTTTTTGGCTGCACTCTTGCTGGGCGCCCTCCGCCCTTGCTGCTGTTCATCGTTAACATCGAATTGTATGTAACCATGGCCATTAGTTGGTGGCAGTTTTGTGGTGGCTGGCAGGACTGTGGGCAGAAAGCCGGGCACGCTGCGTAAGAAAAGAGTGAATGAGCTTGTTGCTCGCTAACAAGCCTCTTGTCCTGTCTACTTACCCCACAAATGACTCTGTTGTTTCGTCATGCTCGAGTTGCTGCTCCGCCGGCTCCTCCGGCTCCTGCGGCTCCCCCAACTCGCTGCCATAGTGCAAGTCGTCGACGGGCTCGCTCTGCCGCTCGGCCTGCTTATTAAGCTGTCAAAAGTGGCACTCATTGCCTGTCAAAATCTTTCACTAAAACTTACACAGACTCACCTCCTTGGCGCTGTCACTCAAGCTGACTGGCTCTAGCATCGCCTTCAGATGCAGCCTCCGCTTCAGCTCCACTTCCTCCGCTCGGATAGTTGTGCTTGTCACATTCTGGGGCCCCGTGGGCGGCTGCAGCGGCACTGGCAGCCTCGTCGACGTCGTCAATGCCGGAGCTGTCGTGGGCGTTACTGTCGTGGCCAGCAGACAGATGCCAATGACAGATGCCGCTGTTAGCACTTGTAGTTTGGGCCACATAGCAGCGATGCTGTGCCGGAAGAGACCAGAGAACAGAGACGAGAGACGAGAGACCAGAGTTGTAGGCATGTAAATTTTGGCAAATATGTTTATACGAGTATGCTCTATGGAGTAGTTGTTGTTCGCTACAACAACAAAACAGGCATTGCTCGCCTGTTTGTTTGGCTTTTCACAAGCCTTCCCCAAAGCCGTCAAGCGAGTTCGCTCGCTTGGCTGCCTGTTTGATTTTAGCCGATAACTCTGGCTTGTTCATGAACAAGACGATGATGATGATGATGATGCTGATTTTTCCTAAGTGGCCTCACTTGTTTAGGCGGTTTTCTTTCTCTTCCATCGCGTATTTTCCCTAAACTTTAAACGGCTCGCTGCCATCATCATCATCATCATCAACAACAACATAATTTCAATTGATGTTGTCTCTACTCCTCAGTAGCTTTCTTTGCCAAGCGAGTTGTTGAACTTGGGCCAGGTTTGCTTTGGGCTTATGTCATTGCTGGCAGCAACGTAATGAATTATTAATTACCCTACCCGCCAACCCAGCAACCCGCAGATCCGCCGATCCGCCGATCCGCCCTGGTCACCCGTTTAATTTGGAAAATTGAAATTGATGGCGTTTAAAATGGTTTGACGTGCTGTGTACGCGTTTTCCACCTCGTTGATGTTGTTGCTGCTGCTGTTATTATTATTGTTGTTGTCGCTGGGTTTCAATATCCATTAAATATGCATGCCAAAACATATTTCACTTGCATTATTTATCTTGCCTCCTCGAACGTATGCTAAGTGCTGCAGGTGGTGTGACCGGTTTGTGTGGCTAGCAATGCTTTAGATAAGTTCGGAGGCTGTGTATCGCCAATAAAAACACTACTTCGGTATCAACTCCATTTAAAAAGCCGATAAATTATGCTCATCATTATTTTAATGAGCGAAAATGTCGGCACCTTTGAAAAAACACTCTTCCTTTCAATCGCTCGAAAACGCATGTAGAAATCTTTTCGTATATTACTGGATATTTAAATATTTTTGTTGACATCTTTTCTGAGATAAGTTGCTGGGTAATCAAGCAAATATTTCCATATGTCCATATGTTCTTGTTTTATTTGGGGTAGGTCCTAAATCAGGAGAGGCTATAGTTAAACGTTTACGTTTACATTTTCAATTCCACAAAACAATTTCTACAATAGTTTTTTTTTTTTTTTTGACCTAATAATATTAAGATGCAACTATCCGAGAAACCGTTGTTGTTGGTGAAATCCCTTGAAGAAGCATTTAATGCAGTTGCCGACTTAAATGCTTTTAATTTATAAGTACGTAAGCAGTAACAAATCAAATTTTATTGGCTTCACTTTCAAACTAAATTAAATATGTTTCTGTTTAAATATCTATTCTGTTGTACTACAAGTATATTAAATGTATTTAAGTTAATTGCGAAACGAGATGCAAACCTAAAAAGAAGTTACAACTTCTTTGCAGCTACTCTGATTACTATAACTACCAAAAAAATGTCTCTTTTATTTAGTATGCATATTAGTTTAAAAGTAATTTCTTCGAAACATTGTTTGCAGTAGCTGCAGTGTTACATATATATTATTCAACAAACACTTATATACTCATTTGTATATACTTTGAATTGGCGTTTGGAAAGACTTGAGTGAAGCTTCATTCAGTAAGTAATTCATTTAAAAAACATGCTGTAAATATTTTAAGAGCTATGTTCACAAAGAAGGGCGTAGCAATGTTTTTTTCCTCTTAAAATAGCATTGAGCCTCATTACTAAGCCAATTGTTGCTGTGAATTTGTAAATGTTTAATGGGCGTTCAAGCACCTACACCCTCATCCTTTATTTGTAGCTAAGGCTACTTTCCATTATTTTGAAGCTGGTCCATGCAATTGTTTTCATTTCGAGTGCCACTCACAGTTACGTCCTCGATAGTATTTGTCCATACATATATTAACGAATACTATTTGTGGTAAGCTGTGATTAATTACCTGCATCCATTAAATCAAAGCGAGCTAAGAGGCGCAGCGATATTCAAACACTTAATTACTTATGTTGATTGTTGCAGCAAATTAAAAGGCACTTTTATTTATCACTTTTCTATTTTTACTTGTATAACCGATTTACTTCTCTCACACTATTGCTGTTAATTGTGCATGAATAAATGATGGCACAGAGCGCATTTTCAAATTGTATTAAACATTTATAAAGGGCACGAACAATTGCCAGCGCATTCATAAATAATGCAGTTGATAGCGAAAACAAAGAGGCGGCGGCAATTGCTGGCTAAGAAGCCGCCAAGTTGCTGGCAATTAACTAAAGTCCCAGGCAAAGAGCAAAAATTTGCAATTATTTTCCTGCCGACTACTTTTGCGAGTGTTGGCGACCCTGGCGGTTGCGCATGCGCGTTACGAATGAAAGTGAAATTGCCGCGGCGCTGGCATTTCGTTTTCTTTTCGATGTCGACGACGCGTCTTCGCCTTCGTTGTCTTCGTCGTCGCCGATGTCGTTGCTACCTTCGCCGATCCTTAAAGTGTAGCAGGGTATGGAACGGAACGTGGGCAGCAGCCAAACTCGTCTCTCCGGCGATTGCGCAAGCGCCGACAGCTGTCTCTCTCTCTCTCTCTCTCTCTCTTTCTCTGTGGCGCTTGTGTGGAAGCTCTCACTCGCTCACTAGGAATGACACTTTTTATGGCTTTCTACGGCAGCATTGACCCTGCCACCACATGCGGCACGATCGTCGTCTTAGCCGTCAGCTGGGAAAATGCTGCAACAGGTTTTTCTTTCAGAAAAGCGTGCGCGCTCAATTGTGTGTAAAAAGAAGCCAGCCGCCAACGCGTTTCCCCTTCCACTGCCACTAAGTGCGGGTGAAAGCCCTTGTAAGTGCTACTCGCGAGCTCCCTTGCTGCCCCAAACTCAAATAACTATTTACTAGCTGGTTACAACAATTTAGCAGCTACTCGCATTACGGGCGCCATGCTGCACCTGTTGGGACCGCAACCGATATTTCGCGATCTTGTCAATCGCCGATGACAATTCAATGGCCCGACTTTTTCCGACTCTAATTTATTTGGCCTTTTCCTTGAATTACTTTTCACGGTTTCTTGTATTCCGCTGCTCATTAAACACTACATTTTATGTCTGTTAATTGTTATTTAAGCGATTGACATTTTTTCCTGATTAATGCGGCGTACGTGTGCATTGCGATGCATGGTTAAATACATTTGGGTTTCTTTTGCTTAATCGTATTAATTAGAGAAAATTCAAAATTTAATTGTGAATTGTGCGATAAAAAGTTTGCACTATTAATAGTGATACTCTTTTATATACACATCATTTGTTTTACAGTAAACTCAAATTTGTTTCTCAAAGAAAATAACCAAAAAGTTAAATATTAATATACATACATGTATTAATATATTTACAATCAGTAGACAACATATAAGTACTACGAATAACAATAATAAAAATTGCTTCAAAATATTTATAACAAAAGATTTAAATTATGAAATGTCTTGTTAAGTTAAAATAGAACAGATACATATAAACAACATTAAATCAGAGTGGATTTAGTTAAGATAAGAAAATATGTATTGTTCAAGGATACAGATTACAAAATAAATAAAAAGATAAGAATGCCAGATATGTTCAAGATATGTTTCTAGGATATAGGGCGTGAAAATCAGCTTAAAAACGTAATATTCATTTGTTGCACTCTAAAAGAATATAATTTACAAGCGTTATTCTCAAAACACATACATACTAGTTGGAATCGAAAATATATCAAAACCCTATGGTTTTCAATATTGAAATTGAAGTTTCAAAAGCGCACTTTCAAGGAATATAGCTATATGTATATTGAAATCGAATTTAAAAATAAATTTTCTATTTATAGATTATAAATTGATGTTAGGAATAGCGATAAGGACAGTATATATGTTGCAACTAGTTGCCAAGTGATGGCTATCTCATGAGAAAAGGGAGTTATCCAGTGCTAGAAACAAATATGACTGTCCACCCGAGTTACTTATTTTGCTCACCCTTGAAGACAAGAGTATAAAGAGTGCTAAATTGATTTGGAATTGACAAATCAGTGTGCCTGCATCGATATCTCTTTCATCTCATTACGCACTCGATGTGCCATGAACAAATTATGATATGCGCCCGCTTCGCTTTCCCCATTTCCGCTGCTGCTCGTGAGACTTTCATGGCGTTTGTCGTCTTTTTTCTTCCGCACACCCAAAAGCGACAAGCATAGGCGAGCTTCAAGTTCGACTCTAGCTGACAGTTATGTTTCAAAACAATTCGATTATATAAGCCGGTCAGGTGGTCGAGTTGAGGCAAAAAATCTTGCATAGCTTTGTCAGAGGAAATGCGTTTGGAAAAGTGGTCGGGCCTCTCGCACGACTCCACCTAATTTTTGCAGCATTTGACCAAAACTGTAACAAATGTGCATTTGCTGTTTTGTAGGCAATAGTTATTGTGGCTGACCAACTTCCTTCCGCATGTAAACTTTTCCACTTTTCCACTGGGAAGATAGTGGAGCCAAAAAATTGGAAAAATTGCAAAAACTGCTTAAATTGTGGAGGAAATCAATGAAATGCTTTGGTCACAGCTTAATAATGGAAACTTGACGGCGAGAAAACTATTAAAAGCAATTTACTTAATTTTATTACCTGAATTCAATATTGTGAGTGCCAATATGCGAAAAGTCAATTGAAGCGTACCACCATGCCGTGCTAATTAAGTGGCCGAGCAAATAAAATGCGGGCGGGCAGGTAATTACAATCAAAAGATGATTGCTGGCAGCAGTCGGTGGCGTTGGCGGCATTGCTGACCAAACTCGACCAAACCCAAACCAAAAGCCAATTTCATGCAACAATCAATCAAAACCCATTTTTAATTTTGAGCTTACAATTATTTTCATTTCATTTTCTTTTTTTTGTTTTTTATGTCGCCCATGTTGCCTTTTTTTGCCTCCTACGTACTGGTGCTCGTTATGCTTCGCTCAGTGCTCGTTTAACTGTGTGAAGTAAATTGGAAAATAAAGTTAAAATTAAAATGCATTAATTGA